GAGGGACGGGGCTGGAATGGGGTGGGGGAAGGAAGAGGTGGGGAGGCAGAGGAGGGGAGAAGCAGGAGTTGGGGGAAATTGGATATGAAAATTTGCTCATTTCTTTGGAGTCTATAGCTAGGTCTTTTATTTTTAAATAAAAAAAATTTTTTTAAAGTAGACTTCATGCCTAGTGTGGAGCCCAATGTGGGGCTTGGACTCAGGACCCTGAGATCAAGACCTAAGCTGAGATCAAGAGTCAGATGCTTAACCGACTGAGCCACCCAGGGGCCCCTTTATAGCTAGTTCTTTTATTTATTTATTTTTTTAAAGATTTTATTTATTTATTTGACAGAAAGAGACACAGTAGAGAGGGAACACAAGCAGGGGGAGTGGGAGAGGGAGAAGCAGGCTTCCCGCTGAGCAGGGAGCCCGATGCGGGGCTCGATCTCAGGACCCTGGGATCATGACCCGAGCCGAAGGCAGACGCTTAACAACTGAGCCACCCAGGCGCCCCTAGCTAGTTCTTTTAAAATCTTGTCCTTTCTAGAGTTCATTAGGGTCTTTGGCTAGGTGCCTGGGATGCCTGCTGAAGGGGGTAGGTTCTAAGCTTATTTTTTTAAGCTTATTTAAGTAATCTCTACACCCAATGTGGGTCTTGGACCCAAGACCCCTAGATCAAGAGTCCCACGCTCTTCCAACTGAGCCAGCTAGGCACCCAAGGTTCTGATCTTTAAAGGTACCAAGGGAGAGACTGGGACTCAGAGAAGAGGCACTTGATTGGATCCCAGAGCTGTGGGCAGGGTTAGAGCCTCACACTCATGCTGGTGGTGTTGCCCCTGAGAGGAACTTTTGAGGTTCCAAGGAATTGGGAGTCATAAGATGGGTAGCTAAACTTCCAGCTCAGACTTGAGGGACCTGGGGACCAGGTGGTTAGGGGGCTGCTGGAGGGAAGGTGATGAGGAAGGTTGAGAGTGAATAATTATATATAGGAGGTGGCTTGGAGAGATGAAATTAAAATGGATGGCATATGGAGCCATCCAGACATCTGACTACCACTTCAGAGCGGTGGGAGCTTCAGAAGGGAGCGGAAAGGGAGCAGAGAGAGAGGATGATGTTAGTAAAGGTGGAACAGAATTTTAGGAACGCCCTCTGACCCCTCCCTCCATGCAGGTTTTCTTACCTTGACTATGCAGAAGGCAGCCCATCTGGGGACTGAAGGCTGAATCCCCTCTTCCAAAGTCTGGGGTGATCCCATGCCTGGGACCGAGTGTGCTCAGATCCTTGGGGTGGGGGGATTATCGGAGGGCTCTGAGGGGCCTGGGCTGTCCTGGCTGGAAGAGCACTGGGTCAGGGGGACTTCGGTGAAGGGTTTGGGTGCTGGGAACCAGGAAGAGCGGGGGAAGGGGCAGAGCTCAGTCCAGAGGCGGATCTGCTGGCGGAGGACAGAGAGTGTATTGTCCAACTGGGAGGTTGCTGCCGCTGGGCGTGGAGCTGCACAGTTCGCCTCTTCCAAACTCCTTTCTGGTGAGGTGGGAGGGCGAGGGGAGTCTCCCCTTCATTTGTGGCCCTGGGGGGGCTATGACGGTTGCCAAGAAACAAGGTTTTATTTGAGAAATAATGCTTCCCAGGAGCAGATGTGTAGCTCTCCCACTTCCTGAGAAACCAGATGCTGTGAGCTTGCTTAGTGCTTGAGTTGAAGCCTTCGGCACTGACTGGGACCTCCCTGCCTTGGGACCAGAGCCTAGAGCTTGATTCTGTTTAGAATCTATGCTGTGGACTTAACAGGGGATCCAAGCAGCTTGGAAGTGACCCTTGTAAAATAGAATGCCATACCTGAATCCTCCTGGTGACTCAAGATTCATTGCGGAATGACGGTGCACCAATCCTGGGATCCATTTCAGCAGCTGGGCTTCTGAGAACGTCCACCCATCCTTCTCAGGATGGGGCCATACCAGCACCCACCTTTTCCTTGGATTTTGAGTGCCCTCTTGGGACACAGTACAGGGAGCTCCTTCTCTACCCTTCCTGTGCCCAACCATCGTGAGGCTCTAAGTTAGATTTTCTCACTTTTATTCTTTCCATCATTTACCTGGTCCTCCGGGGAGTAGCTCAAAATGAAGGCTTGGAGAAAGTGGCAGACTGATGCCAGCAGTGGAGGTGAGTTTCCCATGCAGCCTGGGTGTTTCGCTCTCACCTAAATCCACGTGGAAGGCTTGCGGTCAGCACAGAGCCCTGGGCCTCTTATCCCTCCATGTTTGAAGAGATCAGTGCACCAAGAACCCCAAGAGCAGCTACTGTGAAAGCCATGTGTGTAACTGGGCTCCCATCTGTCTGCACATCCCCATGTTCCTCCAAATTGCTGAGGTTTCCGGGGTTCTTTGCTCCACCCCCTTGTGACCTTAAGGATTCTCAGCCACCGTCCTCTTTCCTGCCTTGCAACCACAAACAGCCTATCTCTAGCCATTTGGAAGATTCCCACTGAGTCTGTGCTATGATTGAGAGAGAGGAAAGGGGGCACCTGGGTGGCTTAGTCGATTAAGCATCTGACTCTTGATTTTGGCTTAGGTCAGATCTCAGGGTTGGGAGATTGAGCCCCGAATAGGGCTCCACGCTGGGTAGTAAGAGTCTGCTTAAGATTTTCTCCTCCCCCTCTGCCCCTTCCCCCACTTCTCTCCCTTCTTAAAAAAAACAAAAACAAAAAGCCAGGCCAATTTGCTGTGAACTGTGAACAATTAACCTCAGATTAAAAAAAAAAAAAAAAAATTTAAGAGGAAAGGGGTCTGTCTCAGTTTTAACACAGCCCAGCTTGTCCAGGTAACTGTTTCCCTACGCCATGTAGCCCTGGAAAGCAGAGGTGGTTGGAAGTACCGCATCGAGGCCATGAAGAAGGAAACGGACAGATTAGTTCAAATAGTATTAAAGGTTAACACCAGGCAAAAATGCTGGAGGGGAGTGGGTGCAAATTCCCAGTTCGTGGGCCTCAATAAACATAGCTTCCCCTGGTAACCCCATCCTCTGTACTTGCACGGAACAGAATCGAAGGCTGAGAGGACTACAGAGATGGGGGTGGGGAGCCAACAGAAAGGCACAGGGATAGGGGATCACAAGAATTTCAGCATTAAGGTGAACTTTAAAGATCAGATTTATTTGGAGAAAACAAAAAACCCCACAACCCAAAGGATGGGATTTTACATCTCAAGACATCTCCCAGGTATTAACTCTACAGATTACAAATCATTTTCATAGAAGATATTTTGTACAAATTTTACATGTATGAAGGAGTGGGACAGAACCCCCGTTTCTGTGGTAATGGGGGCAGGAAGGGAAGTGGGGAAAAAGTTTTGGATACAACCATTTGGAAGTAGACTCGAAAAGGGCAAAACCTACCTTTTCAATGGTATTAAAAAAAAAAAGCAATCCCTTTCAGCCTTGGGTTCTCTCTCTAAAGGCCACTTCCTGGCTACTGGCCAATCCAAGCCAATTATTTAAAGTTATTTCACTAAGTCTTTTCTGTCCACGGGGTAAACGATTCATTAGCTCACTGCTGCAGCGCTCCACCGACAGACACATCTGCTGGCTGGGCAGGTTCTAACCTAGGACTGATGGGAGAAGGGCCTGCGAACAAGAGACCAAGTTGTCATTTCTCTGCTCGTCCCAGTTATCACCCATAAGGACACAGTCTCCTGGGCTGACAGTACGAAGGTGCACATAAAAGCAGGCAAGTTAGGCTATTGTGTTGCAACAGAAACCAGGACATTGTTAAACAGTTCTCTCCATTATCATTTGTTCTTTCTAGGGAAGCTAAAACCACCCCCCCCCCACCAAAACCACACATTGGTCGAGGCCACATTCTAAATCCAAACAGTAGTGTGGGATTTCAGTGGACAGAAGGAAACTTTTAAGAACAAAACCAAAAAGCCCCCATCAAGGTTTTTAAGAACAGCTCACAATTTGTACCTGTTTATCCACCCTCACTCACCACCCAAGACCATTAATTCTAGAGTTTTCTGAGGTGTAAAAGGGGGCAAAGAAGTAGAAGCAGGAATGGAGGGAAGGAGTGAGAGCCCAAAGACATGAAAGAGCCAAGATTTGCTGGAGAAAAGCAGTGATTCCTCATTTGCTTCCGCTCCCTGGGGCGGACAGAGACAGCCAAGATCAGGTATGTGGTTTAAGTAGAAGCTGCTCTGGGGGAGGTAACAGCAAAGAATAGCAGGAGGAACGGAGGACCAGGACGAGAGTCTACATTTTTAAAGCTTCAAGATTTCAAAAGAATGTGGATATATGTGAACTTTCAGAGAGGACAGTGTTTAAGAAAGGGCAAAACCAGGACATAGAGAAGACTTGGGAATTCCGATGACTCCTAAGTGCTTCCTGCTCCAGTGTTACTGGAGGTCATGCCATTTCCCCCGATCACCGGTGCAAAATAATTTGTCCCTTCCCCACAGCCTCTTTTCAAACCACGATTTCCCCGCTTATTTTGGTCACCAAGCAGTCCTGTTCTTTAGTGGCCCACAGACTCACTCCCAACTACCCCCCTGGGGGGTAAAAATGAAGGAATTCCCCCAGGCTGGCCCCAGTAACTCAGAATTAAATAAGAGGAGGGGCAGGCAGCCTCCTGGAGACTAAAACAACTTCAGAGACTAAACCTACCTTTCCAAGGATGGAAAATTTATTCAGGTAATGTTTGAGAATTCATATATGCCACAATAGGATAAGACTTCGAAGGTAGAAATCTCACTCTTCCTTAAGCCTGCCCCACTGCCCAGCCAGATTCCAGACACTGTATTGCTGTCACTGCCATTTTGCTAAATGGAGGCCCCCAGGCACTAATTACACAGGCAACTGCATGTGTCATAAAAATGCACAACTGTTCCATGAAAAGCTATATGTCTCTTTCTCTCTGGCTACATTGGCGATTCTCCAGTTAGTTCAATATTTTAAAGGCTGCAGCAGCATGCAAAAGGATTTCATTTTGTTTTTTGTTTTTCTGTTTTTTTAAAAAAAAGTTAAGAAAGGTCTCCAGGAGATGGTGAGTTTTATTGTCTTGTCTGGATAGAGGTTTGATTTGCTCTCGAATGTTCCAGGGTGGAGAGACTAGGAAAAAGCACAGGATGCAGAGGTCTATTCGGTGTAATCTCCCTCGTTCTCATCTTCGCCATCAACAGAGAGAGCAGCATACTTGCTTGCAGAACTGAACTTCTGGAATAGACAAGAGTGAGAAAATCACCAAGGCCTTGAATTCTCACATCAAAACCTAAGAAACAGGATAAGGCTACTTGGGCAAAATGGAGGGGACAGCCCAGGCCACACCCACTCACTCGCTCAGCATTTTCCACTGGAGAGTAGCTGGGGTGAGTGGCTCAGAGGCCCATGTGCTCTTACTGAAGTTCCTCCACCACCTTTCATCTTGGAGAGGGGATGAGAGGTGTGAAAGGGAGCAAACGGGGACACACTCCTCTTGAACAAGCAGCAGGGCCTGACTCCCCACCACTCCGCTTGTAGCTCCAAACGTAAAGGAGTTCAAGGGCAAACATGAGCAAGCACCCAACACTTACGGAAGCTGGATTTTCTTCAGGTTTCTTTGGCTCAGGTGCAGATCGGGAGTCTTGATCCTTTTTGCCATCTTTCCTGCAGAGGTGTAAGTGTAAACCCCATCTTTGAGAGGACTGTCCCAACCCCCACAAGCAGCAGGAGGCACTGCATAGGTACCTCCAGTCAGCAGTCCTTGCTAGCTGGACTTTTTTTCCTAGATTCTCAGAAGAACTGAAACTCTCCGTATTGGTTGACTTTCCCTTGTTTATGGTAGGAGATCTGGCAATGCTTGGAGGACCGAGAACTTCTTAACTACAAAGGTGCATGCACCTAGCATCAGATGAAAGGTTACAAATGACGAACGAGAACACACATACCTATCGGACTCCTTCCAGTGGTCTTTGTTCCCTCCATCTCCTGGACCACGGCCGGAGTTCCCACTTTGGCCTTTTGGGACACTCACCCCATCTACTTTGTTTTCATCTGCTGAGTGGAGACGCAAAAATAAATGAAAATCAAGTAGAGTAAGCACTCTCCTTCCCCTAGGTTTCCCTTCGGCTGCAGAAAAGTGTGCCCCTCTCTACGGAGAGCAATTCAGCCTCACCCTAACCCAGACTTCCTTCCCCAGCCCTTCTTCCCACGTTCCCCCTGCCCCCAAATAAGACCCACTAAAAAGTTCCATGGTAGGGGTATATCATCATGAAGAGCAAACTGGAAATGAAGGACTGTGACGCCGTGTAGTGACCTTGGCCTTACAGATGGTGACATTTCTAATCTGGACTGAGCATGTTAATTTCCTTCCGATTCTTTTTTTCCCCTTTTAAAGAAATGTTCTGCCAGGAAAGGGCAGGGCTCCACACTGTCTCCTAAGAGACCAACCACTCCTGCCCTCTACTGGCAAGAAAAGGCAGCTAATCTAAGAATCCTTAACACAAAAGCAGGTGCAAAATTACACTGGAGTTCTGTATTTCATGAGTCCTCTACAGGTTTTTTATTGAGGCCTCTAGCTACGTGAAATACCGACTTCCTGTTGGTCTTACCTCTCCTTGCTGGTCCTTCCTCAGGTGGCTGAGCTGGAACTACTTTCCCCCCACCACTAGAAGGAAAACATGTAATTATATTCATCAGTCTTAGGGAAGGAACAGATGAGAAACGTATAATCGTTCTCCAAACAAACTTTACAGAGAACCAAAAATACATACTTAACATTGTGGAACATTAAAATATAGGAAAGACAACAATGAACACTCACTAAGTACCATGTCCTGTAGGATCATCATGATCATGCAAGGTGAGTATTATTCTCTATTTTACAAATGAAGATCCGAAGACTTAGGAAAGTAAATGGACCCCCAAAGCCATGTTGCCAAATGTGGCAGCAGCAGGTTCTGATTACCAATTTGCAGATTTCGAGTAGCCAAAGTGATGCCAACCAGTTATCAAAACTCTAGAAAACTGAACAATGGCTTAAATGAGCCACTTCCAGCACACCACTGAATCTGAACTGAGAGCAAAGATAGCATAACTTAAAATATGCTATGTAAGGCCAACAGCTAGGGCACTCTGCATCATGACATCACAATGTTTAAGAGTCTACAGCTAAGCAACTGTTCTGCTTCCAAGCTGACTCACCTTGTAGGGGACTGCTGCTCTGTGTCTGAGCTCTGAGATCGAGCAGGAGGGTTAGAACTTCGCTTCACCCAAGCATTCTCCTTTGGTGGAGGGGCTGGCATTACCTTCAGAGGCTGCTCAGGTTTGGGAGGCTTAGAAGTTGGAGAGTGACAGTCTTCCTCCTTATTGGGTGCTTCATTTTCTAGAGACTTTTCACTCTCTCTCCTTCGTGCATCTGTGAAGTCAGAGTAGGAAGGTTACATTATCAGGAAAAGCTATTAAACAGCCATCTATTCAGGACCTCAAGAGAATGGAAAATGGTCCACCCAAGTTGACCTCTTTTCATCATTATTCCTAAATATAGACCTGTATCTGGCTCCCAACAGATGAAACTATCCCCAAACCAGTGGTTACCAAATGTCACTGAGAAAAGTGACATTTTTGATTCAAGAAAAATAATGGCTCTCCAAGAATAGCCACCCGACCTTTCCTAGGAACGAGTGCTCTTTATTTTAGGATCACAGCCTTACTACATTTTCAGTACAGTGTTAAAATATTTATACTTGGAGACTATGTACTGTGTGCGAAGAGGACCTTTGATTAACCTTAAACCCCAGGTACCACTGATCAAACTTCAATTTGGAGGCTCAAAACACACACACACACAGATATACATTTACAAAAAACAGAACATACATTTTTAAGGGCAACAAGTGTCTCCTCAAAACTAAAAGTTATTTTGTCAGATTCTATGTTTTAAGTGCAGCCTCCTCAGGAGGTAATATAATCAACCCAACCATCATACTCCCACCTGGCTATAAACAGAGGCATTACTATCCTGTTACTAAAAGGCTACTCCAGTATGAGTAATTTCCAGAAAACTTCTGTAACACTTGGATGAATTTTCAAATCATTTCAACCTGGAGCCATGCTTTGAAATGCTCATGTACAAATCAAATTAGAGGTGGGAGGAAAAAATTTAAAAAAACACTGGTTCGCAATAAGGGAAGGGAGGTGTTATGATTTAATCACTCAGTTTCCGAAACACTAAACATGTTTGTGACCAATTGATAAATTCAAGGAAGGAAGGATCAAGAGCAGAAGATCATCGCTCGAGACATTGCTCTGGTCATACGTGACATCCAAAAAGGCTGGCGAGAGAGCTGTATGACTGTGACTGCTCTAAACAAAGGAAAACTCTGGAATGTCAAGACATAAAAAGAAGGGAGAAACCTAACCATCAGGTATACTCATTACTGGAAGATTATTAAAACAGATCACCTAAGTCTCTTTTGGTGCCCATTTGTCAGATTTTTCAGACCAGGAGACGTGACATTCTGGTCAATCTATGCTACTCCAAGTAAAGCTTCCATGACTCAGTTTAACACCCCGAAGTCTCTGCATAATTTGGTTATGGCTAGTTTAGGGAAAGGGGCAATAACATGATACCCACCCCTGGTCTGACTTACTTCTGCCAGATGTGGCCGAGGTCCCAGTCTGTGATGACTCACTTCCTGTCCTGGACCGTTCCCGTTCCTGAGTCTCTTCACTTCGCCAGCTGGGGTGTCTATACAAAGAGATTAAAAAAAAAAGAAAACTTATGTCCAGCTCAATGAAGGCCACTTTGGACCCATGCTGACCCCTCAAAAATTATCACTTATTAATATTCTATCACACTCACTGTATTTGTGGGTGGGTGTGCACACCTTGTCTCTCTCAAACCACCTGAAAATTGCAGACATTAAGACACTTTGGCTCTAAGCCCTTCAAGCACCGACTAGGGTTAAGAACGGTCTCCTATATAACCTACAGGCCTTCCTTACTGGTAACGCAACTCTACAAGCCACTGAAAACTAGACCATTTTTCAGAATGTTATCACAGGAGGTTTCTACCCTGTTAGATCCAATTCCACCTTTTAATAATAAACATTCAGTAAGGACTCCTTTAACATACACGCAAGTAAAAATAGATGGAAAGTAATTTACAGTCAATGTTTAATATAAGTGAAAATATTTTCTCTCTACTCTATCGCCAGTAACTTGGAAAGAGGCACACCCACTCACCTCACCATGGTGGGGTTTTACTCCACATACTAAAGCCAGGTTTGGCCAATTTTTTCTTAATGGGTCAGATAAACTTTATTTGTAAAAAAAAAAGGACAGGCCGTGTTTTGCCCACTCCTGTATTAAATCACTACCAATTTATATTTGTCAGAGGTTAAGGCTGGTTAAGCCCTTTTAAAAACCGTTAAGGGCCCGGCAACTAATTCTTCATCGGGTGCGACTGTCCCATATATTGCAGCACCCCTAGCGGTCCTAGGCTCTGTACAGTAAATGCTAGTGACAACCTGTAACATCTACATGAGTTTCCCAAGGGTGCCCCAGGAATGTACCGCCCCCGCCCAACAGGAGGCACTGTACTCCCACACGGGAAACCTACCGTCGAAGAGAACCTCACTCACCTCTCCCGGGGCCGTCGTTCTAGTTTTGGCTCATCCAGCTGGCGCTGCAGCTTCTCCTGCTCCTTCTGCAGCCGCTCTTCTACTTCTCGCTCTCTAGCAGCTGTGTCAACAGGCTTTGCCCCTCCAAAGATAGAGGCCGCTCGACTGGACTGGGAGGTGCTAGCAGAGGAATCATCTTCCTTAGGAGTACTCCGAGGCTTTAGATTCAGTTTGGGTCTTTGGGGGGGACCTAAGTTAAATAAAACTCTAAGTAACAGTTTTTCAAAATCACCAGAAGCTGATGGCTGAAAGCCAGATGCCCAGACAGAGCGGTAAGAAACTGCCGTGTGGGATTCAGAGTAGTGGCCTGGCTAATCCGGCCGAGAAGGGGGAACATTAGAAATGGGTGGCTTAAACAACGAAGGACAATCAATCTTTCCACTACCACATCCATGAAGCAGTGCCACACTGAAGGGAAGACTGAGAAAAGTAAACACTTACATGGTGAATCATCACAACTACTATTACCTGCAAGAATGTCCAATTATGATAAACTACTGGATGAAAGTATCTTGGTGAAAAACGTGGTCTAGAAGATGGATTACTTCAGGAGGCTAAGAAGAGCTTGTGACAATATGATGGGAAAGACTCTAGTTCCTATACTCGTCTCTGTGTAGAATCTAAATCTGATAGTGATTCATGGAGCAAAGCATACAGCACTGAACAGCTGATGTAAACACTAAAGGAATGTGACTCCTTCTTGGATCCAAGCTGTCGGAATATTTCAAGATAAACCTTAGTGTTTCAAGGGAATTATATTTCTCAAAATTAGTGTTTATCCTAAATATTTCTGACATACAAAAGATAAACAAGATAAAACCTATGTGGTCCCAACCACCCACCTGGCTTAAGTAATAAAACACTCTAAAATCCACACTAAAGGCTCCTGAGTATCTTTCCCCTGGTGACACGCCTAGCTGTGTTCTGTCCTCTCATAACCACTAAGCTCAAATTTGGGGCTTATCATTCCCAAGCAGGTCTTTATACTTTTAATACAGGATGTATATACGTATGTATCTGCAAAGAGGGGATAGTTCAGCAAGATTTAAACTTTCCTTTAAAAAAAAAA